CACCTCGGTTAACGTAATTTCGATTAACAAACTGCCTTCCATAAGGATCTTCAATTCGGTTAACGAAAAAAAATTCGCTTAACGAACTTCTTACGAACCGACCTCAACATGTTTTCGCTTGCACTGACCGGGCAACCAGCTTTAGTATCAGTCCGCCAATACATTAATCGGTTCTAGGGCTTAAATTCCTTACTATTTTTGTAAATATCAAGAAGTTTATACTATTCAATAATTTTAAAAGTTTAATATTCAATTTTTTAGTCATTTTAACAATTATTGAACAAAATTGAAGGTAAAGTGACTAGTTTAATGCGCGGCATCCAGCCTCTTAACACAGCAAACAGGCGTCAGTCTCTCTCTGTTTTCACTGGAGGTAACATCTTGCTTGAGACTCTCTTCAACTAAACGCTTTTTTTCTGTGTTTCCAAGCAAATTATTGGTCATTTTGAAATATATTTTATATATTGACAATATATAATGCAGTGCAGCGTTGATTTAAAGAAAATAATCTTGAATTAAACCAGAGAGCTAAAATTTTATGGGTGAAATGGCACCATGGGGTGACTTCTCTTCCACCCCAATGCCTTCTCTTCTTCCTTCTCCTCCACCCCCATTCTAAATCCCATCATCATCATCATCATCCAGGAGCCTTCTACATACACACCTCAAAGTAAGTGAACTTTTCTACCATTTTTGTTGAATTTAGGAAATTTTCGGTGAGCTGGAACCAATTACCCAAAAACCCATTGAAACAATGGTTTCGGTTAACGAACGTTTCGGTTAACGAACGACCTTCTGGAACGGATTGAGTTCGTTAACCGAGGGGCCACTGTAATTTGGTGTACACAAAGCAAGTATTTTATCTTTAGTGCAAAATATATGACGTTTACATTCAAAATATTCCCTGACCTGTAAGGAATCCAGAAATGTCAATTATATTATCCTAACTTTAGTCTGAGGTATTATTTATTACTAAAAGTTAAAATCTAGTTTTTTCACCCAACATTTCTCTGGTAGGGAGGGAAGGTGGGGGGTGGGGGGAGGGTTGGGACGACCGACCATCTGGCGCGGTTGGAAGAGGGGGGAGGCAAGTTGGGGTACTTTGATTGACAGATAGTGTCGTGAAGAATATTTTTTTTTTTATTAACTGAAGATATTTGTTTTAGCTCATAAAATTCATACAAATTACTGGACCAGAATATAATTTACATTGCTGGAATTCTTACAATATGATGATCATTTTGAATATAAACATCATGGATTTTGCATTAGACATACAAATTTTAGATCTAATGTAATAATTTGGTTTACACAAAGTAAGTATTTTATCTTTTGTGCAAAATATATGAAGTTTACATTCAAAATATTCCCTGACCTGCAAGGAATCCAGAAATGTCAATTATATTATCCAAACTTTAGTTTGAGGTATTATTTATTACTAAATGTTAAAATCTAGTGTTTCACCCAATCATTTCTCAGAGAGGTAGGGGCCAGTGAGCTGGGAAGAGGGGGGGGGGGATTTGAGTCCATTATTTGAATGGACATTAACCTGGCGACTGTATTTCTCTTAAATATTAATTGTGTGAGCATACCATCATAAAATTTAGGTATTATTTTTACTACAACATAGGTATTGTGTCGGCAAAAGTGGAGTTTGGGGGTCGGGCCAGTCTCTATTGGAATTAATCCCATATGTTCTGTTGTTCACTTTACGCGGTTTTCACTTTCCGCGGTAACCCGTGGGTTCAATTGACCGCGTAAATCAGGGTACTACTGTAGTTGGATTTTTGAATGTTGGAAAAACATCAACCAAACAATAACAAACAAATATAATGCCCATGCTGATCGCTTAAATAGTCAGTTGTTATCACAGTCAGAAGCTGAGCACCTTCGTACAGATTTTTTAAATTGTCATTCATTTATCATTTACATACATATTTTATTTTATTTTCCAACGACCTTATAACGAAATGACGTTAATGGGGGATATTGGTGTATAAGACATGGCATGTTAGGACCTGATTCTAGGGCTAGGCACTCACATTATAAACATTTTCTTTACATTCATTCCAAAAACAGTCTTGCTAATTTTGGACCACTAATTTGATCCCTTAAGGTTTAAGCAGATATCTAATATTTATTTGGCAGTGGACAGATAAACAGCTACCATGTTTATAAAATGCTGGCAGTAGTCTGGATATACCAGCTGTGGTTGTGTCCCTAACACTATTCAACTACAAAACTTCAAAGAAACATCTGTACACATTTCATTGAACAAATGAACTGAAATTAAAGTCATATAAAAGAAGTTAATACTAAAGCTTGTACATCTATAAGATACAAATTTAATGCAGTTAAAATCATATAAACCACTGCACATGAAACAACTGTATAGTGTAAAATTACTTAAACATAATTTAAAGCCAATTAAAAATAATTCATACAATTAAATTTATCCTAAATCTATTCACCAAAACAATAGCAATTATAATTCAGGATATGTTTAAAGTGTAAAATAAAATCAACACAATAATAAAGAATACATTAAAATTTCTCACTGGGCTGCACAAGTGTCACCTTACCAAAGTATTCAATATGCCCACTTTATCATAATCATGTAACAATTACAGCATGCCCTTTCAAATTCCCGGGGGTTAGGTTCTCAAAATGGTCGCGAATCGGCAAATCCGCGAATAACATTTGCTGACCCGGGGGACAGTTTTACTTGTGTACAAAGAAATGTATATTCCCTTTATGTGTTTGCCTTTAGGACAATTGTTTCCTTTACCTGTATTATATATACTATATGTGTGTGTACACACAGACATGTACAGTACAGCATATACAATACAGGTAAAGGAAATTATTGTCTCTAGAATGAATGGCTCCCTGTCCTGGCCTCAAAAATGCCAGGAACTTCAAAACTACCCTAAGACATTCTGGGGTACATCCAGGGTGTCATCCGCGAATAATCGAGGTCCACGAATTAAAAACCCGCAAATTTGAAGGGCATGCTGTACTCACTAAGTGTAAAACTTGGAATTCTAAAACTAATAAAGCCTACCTATCAAAGCTCTAAATATTAAACTTTGTACTAAAAGCAATAAAGCCTCTCACTCTAATAGATTACCAAGTGAATATTGTTTTTATTTTATCAGTAAACAAAAAGGTTAAAAAAATTAATTATTATTATTTTTTTTTTACGGGGATTAGCCCACCCGGGCATAGGTCACTGACCCACACCAGGGCCTGGGAGGCGAAAATGTAATACAGTAATAATACAGGGTAATAATAATAATTCATAGTACTGTACCATAAATAAAATTTATAATAAAAAATAAAAAATTATAAATAAAATAATAATAACAATAATAAAGAACCAATAAGAAATACAAAAAAGAAAAAAGATCAAAAGCGAGAAACGATATACAGTACTATGTATGTCATGTTGTCAGTCGTAGAGTAACAATTGAGACCCTGCAATTGTGTAAATGAGGTAGAAAGTCAGATCAGCAACCTGGGACTTGGTCACAATTTTCGTGATGCCATATGGCAGCAGGGACTACCATGAGACAACACATTATGCTTCCAATATCTTCCCAGGGGGTAGTACTTGTTTGGTAGCTGCCTACCTATGTGACAATAATATAAACTTTCTGGTTACTTTTGAATGATTAAAAAATGCTAACTATCCCTCATATGTAACACTGACTAATATCTTATTTGGAAGGATGGGCTCTTAAAGTTCCATCAAAATTTAACATAAAATAGATTTCTCGTATACTGTACAGTAGAGCGTCGATATAACACGAGATCATTCCAAGAGAGGTCGCTTTAAACCGAATTCGCACTAAATCGAAGTGTTGTTTCAATAGAATAATTAGTTTGGTATTTGAGAGAAACACAAAATACTAAAAAGACTGAGTCTACCCAGATGCACCTCAGCCCATCTCATTAGAATAAACAAAACATTGTTTTTTGCAGTATTATGTTAAAACACTCATAAATCAACACAGCTAAAATTACAGGATGCGAAAAGGTCTGTTTACTAGCAATCAACTGATGTGAGAGGGTGGTCTCATTGGAGCCGCACATCACCCGCCTCTCGTCTGACTCACCAAGCACTTCCACTTTCCTCTCAACTTAGTTTTTCATTACTTTATGCTGGCCCTCCCCTTGCCCCGACCGAGAGTCTACCCAGATACACTAGTACTCATAAATCACTACTGTAAGGTAATACAGGTTCACAATCCCTGATCCTTTATTTGAGGTGTGTAATGTCTACATTCAAATTCTGCGCTATGTTGCCAGGATTCCAGCAATGCAAATTATATTCTCCTAACTTTAGTCTGTGACATTTTATAAGATAAAAATTTTAAGCCTAAAACTACCTTCACCCCTGGGAAGGGGGAGGTGATGTGTTGACAGCCAGGCAGGGGGGAGGACTGGGGGGTGAGGTGAGGTGAGGTATTCACCAGCCAGCGGGGACATTAATCCTGTGTGTCTTATCTGTCATAGCGAGGAGTTTAAGTTTTTTGCTTATAAAATGTCACTGAATTGACTGGGAGAATATAACTTAGATTGATGAGATTCTTGTAAGACAGGGATTAATTTGAATATAACATGCTATAGTTTGCACTAGACAAAAAAGTTTTATTAATAACTTAGTACATTTGAGTACAAAGGACTAAAAATTTTATCTCTTGTGCAAAATATATGATGTCTACATTCAAATTATTTGGTGTCTTGCAAGGATTCCAGCAATGCAATTTATATTCTCCTAACTAAGCCTAAAACCACCAAACCCTGGCTGGGAAGAGAAGGGGGGGGGACAGGGAGGGGAGGTGATGTGTTTGACAGCTGGTGCCGGGAGGTCTAGTGAAGTAAGTATTTATTTATTTATTTATTTATCTGACCTTTTCAGTGAGTTTTTGTTTTTCTCTTATAAAATGTCACTGAATTGACCTGGGAGAATATAACTTACATTACTTGTAAGATAGTGATTAATTTGAATACAAATATGCTATAGTTTGCACTAGACATAAAAATTTTATAAATTATTTATCACATTTGAGTACATGTACAGTACAGAGTTGGCTTGTGTTTGGGCATTATGAATGAGTATGACAGAGGTTTAAGCACACAAAAATGACAATACCCAATACCCATGCGGCAACTGAAGACAGAGAGGTGGGATGGTGCGTTTGGCGCACTTACGATCCATTTTGAAAATTTTTAGCTTGAAATTGGAAATTGTAACCTAACCCCCGGGGTAATCTGCGCCAGATTTGACTCGCGAAAATATGAAAAATTCTGTTTAAATTAATAAGGTGTCCTTAATTGTGGGTGTCGCTTTAAATCAATTTGCTTTAAATCGACGTTCTACTGTACAGTACTTACATGATCTATGCCTACAGATAATGCAAGTATATACTGTAAATATCATATACCCATTACAACAGTGGATGCGTTCTTGACACTTTCTCATTTCAAACTGAGACAATGAAATGGAAAACTGAATGCTCCTGGTCTTCAGTCCATGTTTTTGGTACTCAGCCATAAACATCTTTTTGGGGAGATTCTTACCAATTGCAGTACACTCTATGGATGGACTAAAATGCTTTATGGAAATACTCATTAATTCAAAATGACTGTTTTCTCAAACATGTGAGTGCCTACCTCCTGCTGTCTACTTCATCAACTTGGTGGTACAATTCTTTTATGGCAATACCCAGGGCATCTGCAATATCCTGGACTGAGTGTTCCGTACTAATAGGCGGAACATGAATGAATACTGATCGAGATTTATCTTGGCTCAAGGACAGGTAATATTCATATTCACAAATGAACCTGAAATGAAAATTGTGGAATAAATTTTGATTCAAAGCTCTCAAGTAACTTAATGTTAACAGGAATACAAATTATATGAGCTTAAAGTATATTGATTTACTTACTACATCTGTTCAACCTTATTTTGATAAAAAAGAAGTACAGAAAAACCTTTTTCCAGATCTTCTCTATTTTTCTTGTATATTTTAAACCCGGTTGAGCAAGGGTCAAAGATTGCTTCAGATAGATACCTTTCAGTAAGATTATTATTCTTGAGTCTGTCCAGTACCGGTTCAGTCTTTCCTGAAGTACTGTACTGTGCTACTGTTATTTCATTCCTAGTTCTCTCCTTTTCTGTTTCAATTATCTCAACTGCAAAGTAGTCATTAACAACACAAGCCACTTGCAGCATTATTTCAGACCAAGTAAAGGGTAACCACATTACTCTGTTTGATTAGTGAGAAAAATATTTACAATAAACACTCAATAATAAATTTCACAATCCAGTTCCAGATACTCCTAATAAGATACCATAATGGAAACATTGTCCGCTATTAATGTAAATATATAGTCATTTGGTGCATATTGGAGCTTGCTAGACTTGACATGGCTGAGCATCCCAGCTGTCCAAAACCCCCCAAGAGGGAACTCACTGTGTATATGATTAGCAGACTGAAAGATGTCATGCTGTGATTGAAGAAGGGCTACTACAGCCACTTGCCCCTTGTGAATCATCTTATGAGTTTCACATCATCGTGTATTTTTTAAATCCTGTTTTCATGTTTCATATGTGATGGTGTTAAAACTAGGTGACCATACCAAAAGTTATCTGCAGCCAAGTAAGAAAGTGCATCTCTCAGTAGAAAAGAAGGTTGGAATTGTTGGAAAGTGTACAAAAGGTACGTCTGTGTCTGCCATTATGACAAAGAATGACAGTTGTACACCAATGAAACAGGTCTGTTTTGGAAGGCTTTACCCAGCAAAATCCAAGCTTCCAAATCAGAGTTGAGCATTTCTGGGCATATGATGAACTAGAATCAGGTGTCTGTGCTATTGTGAGCCAATGCAGAACACTCAAACAGGATAAAACCTATGGTGGTTGGTTGGCAATGCCCGCAGAACCAGAGCCTTGAAACCCTTTATGGAGCATCTCCCACTCTCAGTCTTGTGGCAGGCCAACCAAAAGGCCTGATTTACATGAGTCATAATCAAGACCTGGTGTCATCTGATGTTCCATCAAACACATTACAGCCTACACAACAAACTCACTACAGACTATCTACCAAACACATTACAGCCTACACAACAAACTCACTACAGACTATCTACCAAACACATTACAGCCTACACAACAAACTCACTACAGACTATCTACCAAACACATTACAGCCTACACAACAAACTCACTACAGACTATCTACCAAACACATTACAGCCTACACAACAAACTCACTACAGACTATCTACCAAACACATTACAGCCTACACAACAAACTCACTACAGACTATCTACCAAACACATTACAGCCTACACAACAAACTCACTACAGACTATCTGCCAAACACATTACAGCCTACACAACAAACTCACTACAGGCTATCTATCAAACACATTACAGCTTACACAACAAACTCACTACAGACTGTCCCTCAAACACATTATTGCTTACCCAGAAAACTCATTTATAACCCAACCATCAAGCCCCCACTAGGGCTTTTATCCAAGGAAGAGGAACTTGTTGAGGTGTGGTGGCTTGTTCACACTACAAGCTTGCTTAGATCTGATGAAAGCAGATCTGTAACCAATACTGTATAGAAACTGAAAACATAAGGATGGTACAGGATTGATAAAAAGTTCTGCAAACCCAAAACAGGACTAGCAAGAAGGTGGGGGGTTTATTTTTACTCAATATTCCAAAAGAGAGTCTTAGAATGCCATAGATGCTTGTGGTAAAGAATATACACGAAAACGAAATTTTGCGTGCTAGAATTAATGATGACACCCTTCAGTATAAATGCAAAGAAATTATTATTCCATAAAGGACATTGGCCTCTCAATTATAAGTGTGTTTGAAACTAGACAGATGGGGAGGGAAGAAATTTAATTTATGAAGGTTATACTATATAGGAGTATAAAAAGGAACAACACATGGTTCTAAATTCCATATACTATGTAACAGAACAGTTAGAAAACATATTGTTCAGTACAGAAGTAAAAAAAAATTATCTGCGACTAAAAGTTTCAAGAGAAGAAAATTTCTATTGTATAATACAACCTAACATAACTTTCTTGATTTATTTTTACTCATTTACATGCACACACCATACTAAAAAAAAGTAAAAGAAATAATTGTCCCGTATTGTACTCAAATGTACTAAATAATTACTAAAATTTTTGTCTAGTGCAAACTATAGCATGATTATATTCAAATTAATCACTGTCTTACAAGAATCCCATCAATCTAAGTTATATTATCCCAGTCAATTCAGTGACATTTTATTAGCAAAAAACTTAAACTCCTCGCTATGACAGATAAGACACACAGGATTAATGTCCCCGCTGGCTGGTGAATACCTCACCTCACCTCACCCCACCCCCCAGGCGTCCCCCCTGCCTGGCTGTCAACACATCACCTCCCCCTTCCCAGGGGTGAAGGTAGTTTTAGGCTTAAAATTTTTATCTTATAAAATGTCACAGACTAAAGTTAGGAGAATATAATTTGCATTGCTGGAATCCTGGCAAGATAGCGCAGAATTTGAATGTTGACATTACACACCTCAAATAAGGGATAAGGGATTTTGAACCTGTATAGCATTACAGTAGAGATTTATGAGTTCTGGTGTATATGTACGTATATACAGTCAACGGTCCCACATTCCGCGTTTCCATGTTTACGCGGTACCCTGCCAGAACAGGAATGCTCACATTCCGCGGTGCGTGTACCCCTTTACGCGGAGAGCGGCTGGCGAGCCGCACCATTTTTGGATCCAAACCTCCTGCCATCTCTCCCGCCCACTCCCACCATCCGCCATGTTGTGTAAGCGGCGCGAGCATGGTGCGCACAAGGTCGCCCAGTCATCAAAACATTACCGAGTTCTTCACCCGCCACCCACCACAGCCGGCCCAAGTCAGTGATAGTGATAATTATAGTGAGGATATGGACTTATATGGACTTTGAGGGGCTTGACAAAGAGGCCCTGCAAGCCTCTGTGGTGGATAGTGATACAATTGATACAAGTGATACAGGTGAGGGCCAATAACCTGCCCTCTGCCTCGGAACCAACCGCCCATCCCCGTGTGCCCAGCCATCTTTTCTACTAATGTAAGTGTTAAAAAACCTAATATTATTGATATTTCTCTTAATTATTAATTGTGTGTGCATACCACCATAAAGTTAAGATAATATTTTTACTACAACATAGTTGTGTGTCGTCAAAAAGTGGAGTTTGGGGGTCGGCCCGGTCTCTATTTCAATTAATCCCATATGTTATGTTGTTCACTTTACGCGGTACCCTGTGGGTTGAATTAAACGCGTAAAGTGAGGGTTGACTTGATTTAAGGGCGATTTAGGGGATTTTTAGGAGTGTTTCTGACTTTACCCGTTTTTTGGCTTACTTGAGGTCCCCGGAACAAAGCCCTCGAGTAAGTTGTGAGTCTACTGTATGTGAATGTAACAAGGAAAAAAAAAAGAATAAAATTACGTATACTCCTGTATACACCCGAAAATACAAGTTGAAAATAACAATAACAGCTCATATGAGTTGAAAAATAACAATAACATAGCTTGGCCTGGTAGTGAGAGAGCTAGGAGCATGTAGCTACAGGGACAGTTTCACTTGGCAACATGCCAAGTTCAAATATACAATGATCCCTCCATCAACGAGAACAATTGGTTCCACAGTCACCCGTTAACTGAATCTATTATTTCAATGGGATATTGGGTAATTGGTTCCAACTCACAGAATTCCCCTAAAATGGATTAAAAAGTACATACAAAGTACTGTATACCAGTAATAGAATTAACAAAACATTAAATATAAACAAAATACAGTACAGTACTGTGCAGTATACTGTACTGTATAATAATAAATAAAAAACAATAACATATTTTAACACTTAAATTGAGGTGTGTGTGTGTGTGTGTGTGTGTAGAATTCCTGGTGGCTTTGTTTTCATAGTGGCGGTGCAAACGGCTGATTGTAGACACAGTCGATGATGACATGCCATATTCTTTACATAGTGCATTGGTTCTAATACGTTCTTCGTCTTTCTTAATAATTTCTTGTTTCACTTGAATTAAAATCGCCGTCTGAGATTTCTTCGGACCCATGCTTGATAATTTCACCAATAAAATTTTAAGTTCAAAACAATTTATCTAGCTAATTATTTATTATTTTTTTTAAATCAACACTGCACTGTATATTATCAATATGTTAACTAAATTTCAGAATGACCAATAATTTTAATGAAAAAATAAAAAAATATTCAAGAGCACAACTTTCTCGATGTTTACTCCACTGGAAACAAATGTAAACATAAAACCGATTACTGGCGACGAGTCGACCAGCTGATGCTTGCACCAAAACGTGTTTCTCTTAAGGCTGTCATTAATAGAATTTGTATTCGTTAACAGAACTGAAAGTCCTTACGGGAGGTAACTCGTAAACTGAAATGTCGTAAATTGAACCACTCGTTAATGGAGGGTCCACTGTACATTCATTCATAAAAGAGCACACCCATGCTCTTCATTTTTCTTATTTTATAGCAACTTGCCATCTCCACAGATAATATTTTTTCTAATTCTAAAATATACACTGTACTGTACTCTCTGGGCCCACATGGTGGGCGTGGGGACACTACCAGTGGATTCGACCATTAGTTGGCTCGGCTGGAAAAACTTGATATGGTAGATGAAAGTTAAAGAGAAGAATATTTTTTTCTTATAAAATTGAAGGTATAAAACTTAGAAGCTATGAAAAGTATGAAATTTTTTTTATTTTATCCTCTTCACCACAGATCGGCTTGTTAGCCGCTTGGGCAGAGTATAACTGGCAACTGCTGAGCTCTGGTTGTTGTTGTGCAGCATGGGGTTTGCAAAGTGGGTGGTAAGCCCTTGTGTGGCATTATAGGTGTGGGTGAGGAGCCGCTGAAGGCAGGAGGAGGAGGAGGAGGCTGATAAGGCATAAATAATTCCAAACTGATTCTGAGGTTCCACCAGCCTTATGTCTCACTATACAGTGTCTACCAATCATCAACTTTCTACAAACACAATTTAAGATTCAACCTTACCTGTTGAACAAAGAAATGGCAAGAAATGAATGCACTCAGCTCAAGTCAACAATGATCCTATAGAGGCCTTCAATCGAGAAAAAGTTTATTACTAAAATGACTAGGCTAAGACCATGAATAATATGCCAGCCTGTCTCTCACTCCAGATACAAAATCCTCAATTCCCTTAAAGGTCCCATTAATATAGGCCAGAGATTAGAGTGTCTAAACTCCCCAAACCATGCTTGAATAATGACATGCACTATAAATCTGAATCCTTGATTCTTGACTTACTTGCCCGCATCATCAGATATTGTACTTGACAGCTTTAGCATTTTATTCTCATTGATAGCACGGGATATTGTCTCCATGCAGATTCCTGTTCGAATCTTGGTCTCACCACCTAGAAATATGAAACAATTACAATGGATTCTCTTCTATTCACCATGGTTAGAACCAGGGGATTGGTGAAATGCTGATTTTAGATGATACTTAAAAACTATTGTAAATTTTGGCAACTACAAATACACATGATCCTACCCTATCAACTGATTTTAAATTTGGATCACAATATTTGCCATTAATCTCTTTATCATACAATTGTATATACTGTACTGTATTAACATATTTAAATATGTTTTCTTATAAAATCATGACTGTTAATAATAATAATAATAATAATAATAATAATAATAATAATAATAATAATAATAATAATAATGGGGCTATACAGTATACAGTAGGCTTTCATATGTGGCCACCTATTTAGACTGTAAAAACCTTGCAAAATTTAAATCGTCCAAATTTAAATACAACTTCCTATGGAAAAAAATTAATTTGAGTCTGGTACTTTCAAAGTTTGGCTAAATTTTGCCTTATTTACCATTCCTTTTTGGCGAATTACTACCTGTAATAAAGCAACATCCTAAAAAACCAGCGAAAATAACACAGATAAAGTTAAATAAAAACAACACAGAAAAAGTTCTTATGTTCTAGGCTTCAGCTAGAGTTGAACCTGATGACTTGGCAACTTCATCATCAAAGTAAAAACACACACGACAACATTGGCTGTCCTTATGTTTTAAACTACTGTATACCACCACTGGTGAGCAGAATTTTTATTTTAAATTCAGAAACGTTAATTAAAACACATATGAACAGTAAATAAGTGTTGCTTTCATATTCTTATGTATATTAATGACGATATGTTTTCATATGTGAGCACTTACAAACGCGGTCTCACTTTTTTCTTTACCATTAATGGTTAGCTACTTCCATTGTTCCATTTATTAACATTAAATATCATTCCTTAAAACAACCATATTATTTTTTTTACATTATTTTTACTACAGCTACAACCAGGGTCTTATTTTCTTCACTTTAATATGTTGAACCAGTCAGTCACTGGTTTTGTAAACACTAACGAAAACAATGCCGTCTCGTCTCCTCGTGTGTTTAAATATTCTACGTATTATGAATGAATTGTATTGTTCATTTTGCACACATATACATTAATTCAATCAAAAAGACATTCAGTAATAAACAATAATGAATCTTTTGTACATTAGAGAAATGATGCTGTTTACACAATTGCGCATGTCTGAACGTTGGCGGGCTGCTCAAACCCGTCGAAATTTGAGTTATTTGAGATTGTGTAGTGTTTTTTTTTGGTGTCCAAATAAAAAACGTCGAATTAAAAACTCGCGAATTTGAGAACCTACTGTATCTAAATAGGTAATGAAGAGTAAATACAGTGAACCCTCAAAGATCCGGACTAAAAGGGAGGACCACCTGTCTGAAAAAGACGATTATCTGAATCTTCCGGTGAATGTACTAAACATATATATATATATATATATATATATATATATATATATATATATATATATATATATATATATATATATATATATATATATATATATATATATATATATATATATATATATATATAAAATAAAATAAAAATATAGTACCATATTTTACGGCATGTAAGCAGGGAGTATTTAGGGAAAAAATATTTTGTGTATTTTCCTCCTGTAGCCATAGTTTTCTTAAAATAATATACAGTACCAGGAAATGTGAGGAATAAATAAAAACACCAATAAATAAGTTACAACAAAAATACTGTACTGTATTGCCAAATCAGTAGATAAAAGCCAAATGAAAGTTTAACACAGTCACCATTTGCATACACTCCCTGTTTCACTATAGTAACGAATATCAGCTGGGGCACTGATTCCCTAGCAATGCTCCCCAACCCCTACACTCTCCTCCCCTCCCTCACTGAGCCAGCTAACTCATGTGCAAAGAAAAGCATATTCCCTTTACATGTTTGCTCATCGGACAATTATTTCTTTCACTTTTTTCACATTATGTATGTAGGATGGTGTGTGCGTGTAACTGAGTAAAAATAATTGAAGAAAGTTACGTATTTCTACCCCAAAAAGCAAGTTGAAAAACAACCATAACACCTCACAGCTTGGCCCAGTAGCCTGGTGGTTACAGTGACAAGTCTATCATGGTTACAATGCCATGATTAATCACTATTAAGAAATATTATATCAGTAAACACAAATAGTGACAGTAAATCCAGTGAAATATGGCAGGGAGCGAGGAGAGTTGCAAGAGCAGACGACGCTCAACTAGCAGTCACTCACTCCCCTTACTTGCACCCGTTGCCAGGCGTATGATCAAAATATGTATGGGAGAAATACACATCTTGTAGTCTAATGTGAAAACGGTGATGGGCACAGTGATGAACAAACTATATAAACCATGCATTTACCTACGATAACATAATAAGAAACATTGCATCATTACTAGAGTGAATGAAATAATATTCCCACAAACAAAAATTGACAACTCTGTTTATGTTTCCCACCTCGAGCACATGTGCCCCACGCGCTGACATTAGTTACACGGGCCTAAGATGATCTTTGCTCTGTTTTGGGAATGCTTCCTTGGGAGGCTTCTTAGCCCCCGGAGCCCCCAAATTTTGTCCAAATCTTCCAAAATTTGGATTTCCGGGTCTGAATTTTCGAGGGTTCGCTGTAATTTAGTTCAGCTATGATATAGCTGCCGTAGCATCACAACACAGTAATTTTTTTTAACATTTATCTTCTGAAAATACATACCTGGCCAAAAGCACAGTAGTCGAGGCCATTAAATCCAAGAACAAGACCTACTGTGCAAGACCTGCCCTTTGTGAATGAGACCAATTGCAACTTGAATTATTTTTAATAAATTTTTTTTTTCATAATTTATACAAGTACAGTATAGTCTCGATTTAAGCGGATTTCCTTTACGCGTTTGATCATTTACGCAGCACCTGGCCAGACAGGCAATTATTAGTCACGCAGTACATTCCATCATTTACACGGGAAGCGGCGTGGGCAGGGTGCGCACAAGGCCGCCCAGTCAACAAAACATTACCGAGTTCTTCACCCGCCACCCACCACAGCCAGCCCAAGTCAGTGATAGTGAGGATATGGACTTATATGGACTTTGAGGGGTTTGACAAAGAGACCCTGCAAGCCTCTGTGGTGGATAGTGATACAATTGATACAAGTGATACAGGTGAGGGCCAATAATCTGCCCTCTGCCTCGGAACCAACCCCCATCCCTGTGTGCCCAGCCATCTCTTCTAACGTAAGTGTTAAAAACCTAATATTATTGATATTTCTTTTAAATATTAATTGTGTGCATACCATCATAAAATTAAGATGTTATTTTTACTACAACGTTCGTATTGTGTCGGAAAAAGGATAGTCTGGGGGTCGGCCCAGTCTTTATTTCAATGAATCCCATATGTTCTGTTATTTTGTTTACGCGTTTCTCGTTTTAAGCGGACCTCCACGGGTTTAATTGACACCGTAAACCGAGACTATACTGTACAGTACAGTAATTGCAGGAACACCCCACTTAATGAATGTTCAGGTTATAACACTTCCATGTTACAAATAAGCCTCATAGAGCTCAACTAACCAGCTGTAATGATTGTTTATCAGACCACAGCCCAGAGAAATACAACACATATAACAGTAAGTAGATGAGCAGGTGTACACCCACTCAAGTTGACACACCCTACAGTGAGAGTAAGACCTATCCCAAGAGAGCTGACGGCCACAAGGTACTAGAGTTAACCCTGCGATATGACCTTTTACAACCACACCTGGGCAAACACAGCTGTCCAGACCTGACCTAAGAGGGGTCAGTCACTTTGACCCAGAGTTCTCACTGCCACACGATCAGCTGAGCCCTGCGACATGACCGTGTGACTCAAGAAGCAACCCCTCCAGCCAAGACACCGTTCTAGACACACCCAGTCTAGTGTTAATTGGGAGAGGTCATCTGCCGGCTGGTGACCGCCAATATATAGGCCCTGCATTCGGAGCACCATTGTAACAGGGAGGGAGCCAACAGCTCCTCCCTAGAGGGAGACTTTCCTCCCCAACACCGAGTCTCCAGCTAGCAGGCCTCCCTCAGGTCACACGTGAGTCTTTGTCAGAGCGATCCAAGGGCGAGTTACTTATGGTGGAAAGTGTATCCATTTCATGTTTGTTTCTGAGAGGCAGTGTTGAGTAACGTCAATATATTAATGTGTCCATGCCATTCCGTTAATTAATAAATAGTTGTATTGAAGTGGTGTTTAGAAGATTCCCCTACGAATATAATATACAGATAAATAACTAATGGGCCACGCTACCAAATTTCCTCACTTTATATTCCTACAACTAGAAATATTCTACCTACTGTATATCTTCTATACCAGTTTTACCTGTTATAATGGTGGCAGCGGTGGGATGTAAGCTATGGTCTGAGAAACAATCATTACACATCCCACCAAGACCAAAGCTTCCATACCAGAGAACTGATGACACATATAGACAGTAATATCATGTGCAGTATCTACTATGGCCCCTAGGGCGATAATGCATCCTCACATTTTACAAGCAATAACTTCATAGATACTGGCATGTATGTTTTTCTACTGGCTTGGTTTGATCTGACAAAACTTACTACTTGTATACAGCTGTATGCAAATAAAATTATTAAAGAAAAAATCTATGAACACTGGTACAGTAGAGGACTTCTCAATACCAAGCATTCCCAATAACAGACATCTTTTCGTTCAGTTTTGGGGGAACATTGTCCACTACTGACTAGACTCAGTGTAATGGCTTATTGTTTACAGCACAATGTGTCAAACAACAAACTGAGCTTCAATGTGTCAAACAACAAACTGAGCTTGTAAAAGTTTAAGTGTTAAATTATATATTTGTCTTTAGCATATAAATAGTAACATAATATTTTCTCTAAGCATATTTTCTGAAAAAAAACAACATTAAAACATCTGTTCATGCATTTCATAAATTACTATTCTATAAACAAACACATTAGATAATAAGATATTTTAATATAAATCTATACTATACTGTATAATATTGCATCATACTGTATTCTGCTTAACATTTTCACTTACCATAAATGAACATCTGGGCAGCTGAAACAAAATGAAGATAATCTAAAAATAGTTCTCTCTTATGTAAAAGAACACAATACTCACCAAAAATGCACTCAAAATTTTCAGGCACGCTTCTGTCATTATCATTATATTCATATGAAAGATTGTGGGCAACACACTCTAATTTTAGCCCATTGGCACGCGGGGACATTCCAACATGGACCACTAGCTGTGAAGTAAATTAAAAACATGTAAAGTGGAATTATAAGGAGTTTCCAGTCCCTGCAACTACAATACTGTACTAGCAATGCAGATTCTAAGACAAATAGTAGTATGATTTTTTTTTTTTTTACGGGGAATACCCCACCCAGGCACAGGCCATTGACCCACAACGGGGCCGGGGGGAATAGGAATAAAAAATAAATAAAAATAGAAAAGAAACAGATTATTGTATATAAATCTACACCGCGAAGAAGCTGGAAAACCAGCTTTTAGAAGTGAGACAAATTGTAAGAGTATGGATACACAGAAGGTAGAGCATTCCACATTTTGGCTGTGTGAGGAAACAAGGATGTACTATAACGGGTTATTCCAGTGTGACCGACATCCACACATATACGGTGGTCACCGCGGGCAAGATGTGTGTTAAGAGTCCACGGCCTTGCTGACGGTATACAGGATGCCAAATCCACCGAGAGTGAGCTTCAACAATAGTGACACTGAGGAACTAGTTATTAATGTAGGAGAAATGTTTGGAGACCAGGAGAATTGGTTCTCCACATGTTCCACATGTACTGGATGGATGTGTCATCAACTGACTGCAAAATCATCGTGGAAAAATGATGTTGATGCCTCATGCCCGTAATGAAATATATACAACCATCAGAGAACACCCGTGCTTGGGAAGAATGAGGACACATACCAACAGCCTTATCACAACTCGAAACCACATTCCTCATATGCCCAGCCCTATCAAGTCTCAGTTTCCCTTAATATAAAATGAAAATAACACAAAAAATTTCAAACTATTTTCACCTTGATACTTTTTTTTTTAATTTATCATCATAATAAGTGGTTTGTCTTATAGAAATTTTCCATTAGCCTACAATGTTGCAGTATTGGCAGGGAAGAGAGGAAAGTGAGGTGCCTCCTTTGTTACAGCTTATCCTTTTATTTTTAGGTCAAATTACAAATTAAATTTTGTATTTTTTATTATTATTGAAGATGCAATATTATTTATGATGAATTGTACACCCACTAAAAAATTATTCGGCACCCGTGTCATATTGTATCACGCCATAAGGGTGCCGAATAATTTTTAGTGTACAGTATGTATACAATGAAAGGCAAAAGTCGTGTTGTGAAATTTTTTGAAAACATATACCAAAAGGCTAAACTTTTGGTGCACTCTGCCTTGTGGTAGGAGGCTCTCATATGTTTCATGTTATATTTGATCTTCAGACAAAACCGCAACACGACTTTTGTCCAAAGCTGGCCCATGCACATTACCTCCCACCTGGTCACATGTTTAGCATCTTTCCTCCCATTAGACATACAAAAAATGTGATTACACTGCTATATTCAGTTAACATAACTTATCCTTTTCATAAGAAAATTTTACCCATTTTTTAAAACACTGATCTCTTTCGCCAGAGCAAATACTGTACAGTAGTCTAGATTAAATGTTTGCAATAGTTTACTCTCAAAAGTCACAAATTGGTTAAGCTCTTTCTTTACAACCCCCTTAACCCACCTAACCCCCAAAAAAAGAAAAAACTTACCTTAGGTTTTAGTTCTTCCCATCTCTGTGGTATAGTATGTTTAAGCTTTTTATAAGAAACATCAAACGTTTCTTTAATTATCTGAACACCAAGTTCCTGTTCAAGATTTTGAATGTCTAGCTTGTTGACAGCCTCCTTGCTAGAGTTATTGGAAAACGTCCAATATTTATCAAAAGCAGTTATATAGATAACCGGGAGTTGGTTATTGCTTAGTAACGATGCCATGTTGCCCATTTCTGAAAAGCAAGGTAAAATTATATGCAATACATGTACCTGTAATTCATTATTTGAAAGCAAGAAGTTAATGAAGGTATGAAATATAATCGGTCACTTTCTATGCAAAGGAATATCCACAGGGCAAAGAGGGTATAGTACTGTACAATGGCATGCAATTTTTGTGGGCACACAACAAAAGCCAATGAAATTTAGCTAAGAAAACTTCAGTCATTAAGTTGGTCCCTTTTGTTTGTTATCAGAAATATGATTGTTCCACAGTCTTTAATCTAATTTCAAGCTCAATAGGAGCATTCCAGCATTATTTTCATAAAATGAAGTAATAATATTACTTTTCTTGCTCCCCATTTTAATTTACACTGAAACATATGCATTATAATACATAAAACATTCAAAGAGAACCCATCAAAAAAATTAGATTAAAGCTCATTCTAGGAATTTACAAAGACATTTCTCAAGGTTTTGTCAAAATTAGTTTGACTGACTTGGTTGCTTCAGCTGCAGCATCCATGTTCTAGAAAATGCATTTCCTATAATATTGTCGTGTTGTTGTCAAATTACCGGCCGATCAGTTTGACGTCAGTAGTGGGGAAATTTCTTGAATCAATTATAGCAGATGGCATCCGATCGCATTTAGAGAAAAGCAAATTAATCTACGACTCTCAACATGGGTTTACAAAGGGAAAATCTTGTCTGACAAATCTGCTGACGTTTTTTAGGAAAATCTTCGAGGTAGTAAATAACGACGAAAATTACGATGTTATTTACTTAGACTTTAGCAAAGCATTTGACAGAGTACCGCATCAGAGGGTTCTGAGAAAAATTAAGGCTCATGGTATCGAGGGGAAAGTTTTAAATTGGATAAAATCATGGCTCACCGATAGAACGCAGAGGGTCAGCGTAGATGGTGTTAAATCTGAGTGGGGCCGTGTAACCAGTGGGGTTCCCCAGGGGTCAGTACTAGGCCCACTCTTGTTCATAATCTACATAAACGATCTAGATACTGGGATCAGCAGTGACATAAGCAAGTTTGCGGATAACACCAAAATAGGGCGGCAGATTAATTCAGGGCAGGATGCAAATGCATTACAGGAGGATCTAAATAAACTGCAGGGGTGGTCTGAAAAATGGCAAATGAAATTCAACACCAGCAAGTGCAGCGTACTTAATATTGGAAGAACAAATACTGTCAATGTATACAGCCTTAACAACATCAACCTAGAGAAGTCGACTTGTGAAAGAGACCTAGGGGTACTTGTAAGCCCGGACCTACGGTCTAGAAAACAGTGCGTTAATGTTCGAAATAAGGCAAACAGAGTATTGGGTTTTATATCTAGAAGTGTAAGTAATAAGAGTGCAGAGGTCTTATTGCAACTACGTATATCTTGCCCTAGTCAGGCCGCACCTCGATTATGCGGTTCAGTTCTGGTGCCTTTATTATAGAATGGATATCAATTCACTAGTGTCGGTGCAGCGAAGAATGACGAAAATGATTCCGGGACTTAGAAACCTTCCATATCAGGATAGGTTAAAGAAACTAAACTTGCATTCCCTAGAAAGACAAAGAGTGCGGGGAGATATGATAGAAGTATTTAAGTGGGTGAAAGGCATCAATAAAGGGGATATAGGTAAAGTTCTCATAATATCCGAGCAGGATAGGACTCGAAGCAACGGATTTAAGTTGGATAAGTTTAGGTTTAGGAGGGAAATAGGAAGGAACTGGTTCACAAATAGGGTGGTGGACGAGTGGAACAAGCTTAGCAACTTTGTAGTAAGTGCTGGAACGCTGGAAAGTTTCAAAAAGAGGCTGGATAGATTCATGGATGATAGAGAGTGGTAGTAACTCTCGACAGGAGCTGCCATGCATAGGCCAACCGGCCTATTGCAGACTCTTTACTTTCTTATGTTCTTAAATTGCTCTTTGAAACCACGTGTTATAGAAGAACTTATTGTACAGTAGTGTTTTAGGAAGTACAGCATTGTACTGTTATGTACACTCGCCACAAAAACTTCTCAAACAACTGGCACGACAAATTTCAGATTGAGCACTATGGTTCTTGTCATCTCAGAATGGTTGGTATGCCGGGTTGAGGATGCTTAGAGCATTCAAGAACTATTTGTGGCGAGTGTACCACCTTAATACTGTACTGCAATGCACAGTTCTAATATAAACTACAGTCAAACCTCCATATACAGTCAGTCACCGACTTGCGACGGGGTTAGGGACCGACAACCAGGTTGTAAGTCGAATTGGTCGTAAGTCGAAAATGTGAAAATTATACATAGAAAATAAAAAATGAAATATGGTACAGTAAAATTAATTAATAATGAAAAATTAATAAAGTGTTACTGTACACTTACCTTTAATGTAGTCAGTTGAATGCACACGGGGCCTCAATAATTTTTTAAGTAAACATGGAGACTACATTAATTGCATGAAGCAGAGGTGGAGACAGGGCTGGGTGGGTCATTAAGTTTGCTTTCTTCAGACAGGCTAACATACTTGCTTGTTGAAGGTATTGGATCATCTTTAGGGAGTGAAGAGGCAGCACTGGTGGGGCGTGAGGAAACAGCAGTTGGGGAATTCTTAAAATATATGTCCAATTTAGACTGCACCATGTATTACTAATGAATGCCATGTTCTCTGCAGGTTTTGACCACATCAATAAATATTGAATGCGTCAAAAGACGGGTTTCAATCATTCCCTTCGACTTGTCCGTCACCTGAACATCCTTAACCCAAGGCGTTTATATATCTATAAATCTATTGATGATATATATATATATATATATATATATATATATATATATATATATATATATATATATATATATATATATATATATATATATATATATATATATAACTTAGGATGCCACTATTATGCATATAGCCTTTGATTATTTCTGCAAATGGAAAGGTTAGGTTAGGTTAGGTAAATTTAGGTTAGGTTAGGTAAGGCATGTTAAGGTTAGGTAAAAGTTAGGTTAGGTAAAGGTTAGGTTAGGTGTGGTAAGGTTAGGTTAAGTTAGGCTAGGCTAGGCTAGGCTAGGCTGGGCTGGGCTGGGCTGGGCTAGTCTAGGCCAGGTCAGGTAAGATAAGGTAAGATTAGGTTAAGTAAAGGTTTGGTTAGCTTTTACGCCCAGGGTGATGTTCCAAAACGCCCAACCAGCAAGCCCCAGTTGACGTTCCAGGATGCACACCTTTTCCCACCACTGTTTAAATACCCAGCGCGGGTTATCAGATTCCAGTGCGACTATTTACCTGTCACGCCACACGCTAGGCCACGAGGAAGCTTCCTGAATGTAAGTACTGTACCTACCGTACTTTTGTTTGTCTCAAAACAGCTCACACTCGGTGCCATCACAACACTCTCTGGCAGGTTGTTCCAAGAGTTCACTCCGAAAAAGTTTGCCCCCCTCCGAGCATTCTAGACATTGTGGGCGGCGGGCATTAGCCAGCTCCAGGTATGGACACTCGACTGAGTACAGAGGCCCTTTGAGTTGTTTATTTACAGTACACAGTCATATTATGAGAGCACAGGGAACAATTATATCTTCTCGGATATATCGGCATGAGTTTTGACGGATAATTTTATTAAACATCAAAATCCATTGGTGAGTAGTTCTGGAAACAAGTTCAATTTCCAAAACTTAAAAACCCCAATAGAGTTTTCTTCGTTCATACTATTATTCGAATGACGATCAGTATTTATGTAAGCACACGCTAAACTACTGTGACATTGTATAAGTTTTACTAAATGGAATGCCAAAGTACGTCATCACAATTTTTTAATATACTTTCGATGTGGTCTGGTCACACTGGATAACACCCTTCCCATACTTGTCCTGAACCAAGTAAATTAAAAAAAAATATTAACTATATGAAACATTGTAGGTAGCACACTCGTGGTTTATACACTGTTAAATTACAAGATATTATAATGTAGGTTCTTACGTGGTGCTGATTTGGCGTCCTGTCCAAACTTCCGCTGGTTGTTTGAATTACCTACTGATGTCTCTGTTGTACTTGTTAGGGGATTACTGGCCACTTCGGCAGTTACAGCTCAATATATATACCATACAACGCCAGTAAGTCACCATGTGGCTGAAACGATTTGTCCATCGCCGCCCCAGCAGGAGTCTCTAGTTATTGCTAGCTGCACAATCGTATTTCAGAAACGTAAGACATAATCACGAATATTAAATAATCTTTAATAATACACACATACCACTTTGACGTAATTAACTGAATTACATCAATAAGACAATCAGGTCGGTATTAAGTTAGAAAAATATTCACGTAAACTTTTGTATACTGGCAGCCACAGATCTTAGATGGAAAACGTTTCATGTCATCGTATGTCGTTGCCCAACCCAGGGTGGCCAAATCTGACCTTTAAGGGACAAACTGTACTTTTTGAGACCTGCTTGTCCTATATTTTTATAGTTAAAAAGGACAGCTTAATGTAACATAAAGCATAATACTTTACTAAATGATATCCGGTTGTCCGTATGATTTTTGTAACGACTGTTTGTGACGCCCTGTAACTGATCCACACGTTCATCATCCTCTCCTCTCCTCTCCCCAGAAGATGAGCGCCGTTCAGTACACGCGTCGTATCGGTCAGATTTGCCAGTACCCTGCTCAGTTCTAGACAGCAGTTTTCAATTAAGAAAATGCAGCTGCGGAAAAGTGTTGCAATGAGCTCTCTACCAGAATCGACCCAGAGGAGTGTGAGTTCAGTATTGCTGGATATGACTCACTCACGAACCTTTCTCAAGAAACTTGCAAGAGGGGTATGGTTATCTATGTTAGGCAAGACCTTGTAGTGGATTCCTCCCCTACAAGCACCGAACCTTCTCGAATTCCCCAGTCTACGCCTCCAGCGCCGCCTACGGAGCGGGGGTCAACTATCTACCCACACCTACCCCCGCCTTATAAGGCCTGACACCGCTGTGACCACTCTCTTTTCTACCCAGTCAATGGCGTAGCTAGAGTGTGTGCCGCCCGGGGCGGCCCTTGAGTTTGCCGCCCCCCGTGCCCCCACAAAAAATACATATTGCACAGTGACTCACTCTATATATATATATATATATATATATATATATATATATATATATATATATATATATATATATATATATATATATATATTAAATAGTTTGTGTACCATTATAATATTACTGTACTTTCACATACTCAAATATAGTATGCTTTAAATACACACCAAACATACTTAAACTTTATAAGTAACAGTTAAACAAAAAGCAAAAACGACATATAGGATAGGGAAAAAAGTAAAAAAAGTGTAAAAAATTAGGACCATCTTTATTTCTGAAATTAAAACTACAACTTTCTACAAAGTAACTTTTCTTGTTTTTTTGTTGGCAAATTCTTCAATGACATTGTCAAAAACTATTTCATCTGTCAATTGTCGCTCTATAGACAGTATGGCAAGATTTCTCAACCGCAAGGTGCTCATAGTAGATCTTAAGTAATTCTTGATCAGTTTTAGTTTCGAAAAACTCCTCTCACAGGTAGCAACACTAACAGCAATTGTGAGGAAAATCCTCAGCATTATTACTATATTTGGAACCGAGTTCCCAAGGTTATACTTTTGAATAAACTGCAAAAGTTCAAGGGGGCCTTCTTTCCACGTCTGTATTCTGTCTTTAATAGTTATAGCAGCAACAGCAACAAAATGCTGAAGCCTTTTTCTCTCAACGAGGAACTCCTCTTTATCAATGTCGTCGTGATCGTGATCTATTTGACCCAAAAGTGCCGCGCGGGGCGGACCGCCTAGCTACGCTAGTGTACCCAGTGCCACCAGCAAGCAACACCTCCTCCGCGCCAGCCGTGCGGCTGCCACTCCCGCCAGCGACCTTGGCGTCCCTCAAGCCGCGTGCCCTCACCACCCAGCTCTCTCTACTCAACGCTTATTACCATGCTACCTACCCAGCAACAAGCTGCATTGTACATCCAATACAGTATGTATACAGTGAGCACATTGTGAGTTTCCTTTCTCCATCCCATCCTGAGTGTGAACAAATATTTCATACCCCTACAACCTTAGAGCCAGCCAGGCGAGGGTACAGGGAGAGGATGTTTTTGAAGAGTCCAAGTGGTGTAAAATTTAAATTAAAGGGAGGGGACTTACTTATCGTCGGGTGTATCTACAGATCCCCAAACTGTGGCCCACTAAATCAAAGGAACTTAAGAACCTTAATAAACAACGCGGCGATGCTCAACCCTAGCCACCTCCTTATCATGGGGGACTTTAACTATGGCGACATCGACTGGAGAAACTAGTCCATCCCGAATGTCTTGAATAACCCTGCTACTCTTTTTATAGAAACTGAGAGATAATTTTCTGTTCCAACATGTTAGAGACCCGACACATTACAGGGGGGAGCAAACACCCAAGCCACTTGACCTCATCATAACAAACGAGGAGGGTATGGAGGCCAAACTGGAACACCTTGCCCCAGTTGGCACCAGTCACCATATAGTGTTGTCATTCAGATTTAGCTGTTACCTAGTTCAGGATAAGGCCAGGCCAAGGTACAAATATTACAAGGGAAATTACAATGGGATGAGGGAAGAGATGAGGGGTATCAACTGGCCTGACTCATTAAGGCACAAGAACGCAGACACTACGCTGAATATCATAACTAGTAAAGTGGCCCATTTGATCGATAAATACGAGGGGATCCCTACACATGAACCATGCGGCGATCGACAAAATTAAGAAGAAAACCCAGAAATTCAAGACGTGGGTTGGGTCAAACGATGAGCAAGACAGGAGGATGTATGCAAGACCCAGAAACCAAGCAAAGATAGAGTGTAGAAGGGCTGAAAAGGAGTTCCAGAGGCTGGTTGCACGCGAGGTCAAGTCAAACCCAAAGGCGTTTTACCGCTTTGCAAAGTCGAAATTGAAAACGCGAGTAGGAGTATCAGACCTGACGCTTGAAGATGGCAGTTACGCAGATTCTGACCAGGATAAAGCTGAGGCATTGAACAGCTTCTTTTCCTCGGTGTTCACAAGAGAGGATGCAACTAACCTTCCTGCGTTTGAGGACACGGTTCGACACAGCACTGACCAACATTGTGTTCACAGAAGAGGGTATTAGAAATAAACTGTCCAGGCTAAAGGTCCATAAGAGTCCCGGACCTGACATGGTGCATCCTTGAGTGCTAAGAGAGTTGTGCAACGAGCTTGCAGAACCCCTGAAGATCCTGTTTTGTAAATGCCTGGATGAACAAATGGTCCCCAGTGAATGGAAAGTGGCTTATGTGAGTCCTATCTTCAAGAACAACTATAGACCGGTGAGCCTGACCAGCAGAATATGTAAAGTACTGGAGAGTATTATCAGAGATGCCGCAATGGAACATCTACTACGAAACAACCTTGTAAAGGCTTGCCAACACGGTTTTATGCCGGTGCGCTCCTGCTTAACACAATTGCTCAAGGTATTGGATATTTGGACCCATATTCTGGAACGGGGTGGTAATATCGACAATATTTACCTAGATTTTGCCAAGGCTTTCAACAATGTACCCCACGAAAGGCTGAAAATCAAACTGGAAGGGTACGGATTTTGGGGAAATGTCCTAGCGTGGACAGAAGACTTTCTACATGACCGCAAGCAGTGTGTGGTGATTAATGGCACGAAATCGTCATCTGTACCTGTCACAAGTGGGGTATCACAGGGCAGTGTATTGGGCCCGCTGTTGTTTGTTTGTTTCATAAATGACATGCCTCTCTTTTACTTTATTTTCAACTTTTAGCATACTACTACTACTACTACTACTACTATTTTATTACCTTAAAATTAAATATCCTAATACAAAAGTAGCTACCCTAGCTGTGTTGAGTTAGTTGAACCGCAGAGCTATGCGGCATTTAGTGACTGTTGCCTCAAAGTCAATATCTGCGACCTTTGTCGGCTTTGGGGCCGAAGATCTTGTTCCCCTGAGGCAAAGCAATGCAGACCTAATCAGAGAGAAGGACAGTCGACATCTCAACCAGGCTGTAACGTAACTTCTGGGCTGCTGCTTCCGTTCAGATAACACCTCCGCGAGTCTGGCATAGAAACATCTGGCACTTGGTTCCACCCCACCAGAGGTTGTGAACACCAGGGGAGTGAAGCTGCCCTGATCAATATTCAGAATTCTCTCCCTATATGCCCTGTTCTTGTCATTCTCGTTCCCCCTGTGTGCAGCATCAAGAGCCAGGTTGCTTTGACATGCGGCCATGGGATCGAAAATCCTTATATTAAAGAAGGCTCGCTGTCCCCGCGTCCAGAATTCTCGAGCACTGACGTCCACACGGGCTTCGTTCGATGTGTTTGAAGTCCTGTGATGGAAATTCTCACCATCCAATGGAAAGAGGGTCGGCTCTACCCTGACATCATGGCAGATTTCTTTCGACATATTTGCCGTAAGATCCCTTACCTCTTCATGCTTCATGCCCACGATGGTGTGGTCGATGTCGTGGGATGAGCCACACACGCATTGGGAGGGCAAACCTTCTACTGGCCTACTGTACCTTAGAGCAATGGCATCTACTACTACTGCTACTACTACTAATACTAATACTAATAATAATAATAATAATAATAATAATAATAATAATAATAATAATAATAATAATAATAATAATAATAATAATAATAATAAAAATATACTAAATTCGTAATTCTATATTGTTATATATC